AGGAGGCGGAGGAGGAGGCAGGGGCGGCGGGGAGGGGGGCGCAGCGGGGCCTGCGGCGCGCCGGTTCCCATCGCCCTTCCCCCGCTTCGGGGGACGCGCGGCTCGGCCCCCCCTCCTCGGGCCGCGGGGGCGCGCGGGCCGCAGCCGTTCCCGCCGCGGCGCGGGCACCCGCCCCGCCGCGCCTGCGCCCGCCGCGTGTGCGAGCCCGGGGCGCGGGCACGGCCTCCCCCCGCCAGGCGGCGCACGGCGGCGGGCGCGGCGCGGGCTCGGCCCCGAGCCGGCCGCGGCGGCGCCCGCGCGGCCGTGGGGCGGCGCTCGGGTGCGCGCCGCGCGTGTCCGCGGAGGAGCGGCGGTGGCGGGAGGTGCGGAGCCATCCTGCCCATGATGTGCCCCTTTCCTGCCGCCGGGAGCGGAACGGCGCTGCCCACCCAAACCCGCCCCCGCTCCCCTCTGCAAATACTCCGCGGGGTTGAGTTTTTAAAGGCATAACGCGATCGCTAGGAAGGAATAAAGGCTTTTATTGCACTCCTGATCTCCCACCTCCTGTTTTCTTTCCAAAAAGCATCTCATGAGATGCTACCCTGATGGCACAGCTTTCACTGGCATCACTTGTACATAAATAAAACTTTACAGTGCTTCTGCTAGTGTGAAATGCAGCATGTCTTCTTGGGAAAAAAGTCTTGGTAAGTACAACGAAATAAAGAAGTCACTGGAATAGTGTAGTCATATCCTGGGAGCATCAAATGGACATTTTTCATTGGGTTGATAACTCCTTCCCTTTCCTGGGCTTTTTTCTGAGAGGTTTTCTGTGTAATGCACTGACATATGTACTGAATTTTAGTCCCACTGGATCAATTTGTTTTGCCGGGTTTTTTAAATATTTTTTTCCCACTCCCTATTAAATATGAAATGAAGTCCCTATTTTGCCTGGGCAGTCAAAACTTCCGGGTTTGTTTTTGTAGTAACACTGGTAATCTACATTCAGAATTAACTGTAAAACAAGAAGTAATGGGTTCAAACTGAGAGGGGATATTTAGGCTGAATATAGGGAAGACATTCTTCCCTGTGAGGGTGGTGCGGCACTGGAACAGGTTGGTAGGAGAAGCTGTGGATGCCCCATTTCTTGAGGTGTGCAAAGCCGAGTTGGATGGAGCAACCTGGTCTAGTGGAAGGTGTCTCTGCCAATGGCAGGGAGCTTGGAACTAGGAGATCTTTAAGTTCCCTTCCCAACCCAAACGATTCAACGATTGCATGAAGTCTGAAGTATTTTTGATTCCTGTAAAAGAACTCTCTCCACTGTGGAAGGAGCTTCCCTTTTACGATTTCACAATGTGCTATTTCTTTCTTCAAGTGTCCCAAACACTCCTGCAATAACCTTATTACTCCTGGGAAATACATAGCTGCTGGTTTACCACACTGACCAGCAAATGGCACTTCATTTTGTTAAGATTCTCTCTCCCGGCTCTATCTGTGCCTGACAGTGTGGATATGCCTAGCTTTTAGGGCCAGACTCTGCTGTGAGTAATCAGAATTAAACTAGTAATGGAAAAAAGAACCCAGTACCTTACAAAAGGTACAGCTCTCCATTTTTTCTCTCTGATTTTCTGTATCTTAGGCTACAGCAGAATGTTTGTTTCTGTGTGTTTCGTTATTTCATTATTAGTAGCTCCCACTGAGATACTAAAATAGGGGAAGCATATGTTCAATATCCAGATTCAGAATTAAAAAAAAAAAAAAAAAAAAAAAATCATTGTTACTATCTAAGAGTGTGTGGTGGGTTGACTCTGGCTGGATGCCTGGTGCCCACCAAAGTCAGGGTCAGCTGAGCAGGGGAGAGAAAATATGTTAAAAGGCATGTGTATTGAGGTATTAGGGCAGGGGGAGGTCATTCACCAATTACTGTTACAAGCAAAACAGTCTCCATTTGAGGAAATAATTTTAATTTATTAACAGTCAAACCAAAGTAGAGTAATGAGAAATAAAAGCTGAATCTTAAAACACCTTTCCTCCACCTGTGCTTTCTTCCCAGACGTAACTTCATTCCCAGTTTCTCTTCTCTCTTCCTCCTTCTCCCTGCCAGCTGCAGAGGGGAATGGGGAATGGGGGCTGGGGTCAGTGGTCAGTTCATCACACATTGTCTCTGCTACTTCTTCCTTCTTGGGGAGAGGACTCCTCAAAGTCTTCCCCTGTTCCAGCATGGGATCCCTTCCACTCGTGACAGCCCTTGATAAACTTCTTCAACACAAGTGCTCCCCATGAGCTGCAGTTCTTCACAGACTGCTCCAGCGTGGGACCCTTCCCATGGGATGCAGCGATTTAATTACAGATGGCCCCAGTGTGGGTCTCTTACAGGGTCTCAAGTCCTGTCAGCAAACCTGATCCAGTGTGGGCTCCTCTCTCCATGGGTCTACAACTGCCAAAAGACTGCTCCAATGCAGGTTTCCCGCAGGGTCACAGCTTCATTTGGGATTCTTCCAGCTCCAGCTGGGGGTTCTCCATGGGCTGCAGGTGAATATTTGCTGCCTCACCATGGGCTGCCCCACAGGCTACAGGGGAAATCTCTGCTCCAGTGCTGAGCACCTCCTTCCCCTTCTTCATCACCCACTCTGGTGTCTGCACAGCTGCTTCACAGGTTTTGCCCTCACTTCTTAACTGTGTTATCCCAGAGGCACTACCACCCTCAATGATGGGCTCAGCCTTGGCCAGCAGTGCATCCGTCTTGGATTCTTCTGTTCTGTCAGACAGTGGAAGCTTCTATTGCTTTTCACAAAGGTTCCCTCTGTTTCCTCCCCACCACTACCAAAAGGTTGTTACACAAACCTAGTAGAGTATGTCATAATTTTTGTTACATATGAATGTTGCACTAGGTTTTGGAAATGAGAGACAAAAGGTAAGTGTTGCAAAATTTCTGGATGAAATTACCTGGGATTGAAAATATGTATTCTTGAAGGTGAAGCATAAGAATAAAACCCATTGTATCTCTACTAGCATGTCTGTGGGCTAATATGTGTAGTCATATCAGTCAATCAAGTATTTTTTTCAATTTACTGGAAAATACCTTTCTGCAGAAAAAGTGTTTGAATCATGACTGAAACACTGTTCCTATTAAATTATCTTCTACCTAGCTAGCACAGATTAGTGTCTAACATTTAGACTTTGAAGTAGTTTTGCTGTTTTCCTCTCTGATGAAGTTGACTATAGATGCTCTGGCTATGTGGAACCAAGAGGCTGTTTCCAGACTGTTTGGATTGCAGGGATATCTGTAAGGGAAAATAGTCCTTTGTAGGATGTTCTTGTTTTGTTTAGAAAATTGTGTAACAGGAGTGAAGAATGACAAGTGCCACTTTGTGTAACCAGGCATAATGCATTGGAGATGGCATGCAGGGAAGATTGAAGCTTCTATCTAAGGACCAGTGTAAACTATATGTTAAGTGTCAGTGGATTCCTGAGTGTTTGAAATGGTTAGGTTTATAATGTCTGTGTGAGTTCCAAATGACAACAGAAACATCATGATATTATGGCCAGATTTCATTTCTTGAGATTGTATCGTGGTCTTGCAGAATTGACAGTCATACAAAGACACAGCTTTTCTCTGGGTCTGATTCCTTGTCAGGCTGAGTGCACAAGAGAAGGTGAACATACGAACCACTCAATATTTGTGAAAGGGAATCATAGACCCTGCTAGTATATTCCCATGGGTCAGCAAGGACAGCAAAACCTCCTGAGAGTGTAAGTGAATGTTTTAGGACAGAGAAGGGAAGTCAGGGAGCAGATGCTCCTTGCAGTGTGTGTTTCCCATAGCAACCTGGCAAATTTCCCGGCAGAAATTTGCGCGTGAGTTAGTCATGTTTTCGCATCACTTACTCCTGCCTGTATTTTCAAGTATTCCCACAAAAGAGGAAATAGTAGAGACAACTGGGGAGGAGCAGAGCATAGATGATGGAGTTTGGTGGCACAGCCCCTGGCTAAGC